TACATTTAGAGACAATTTTTAGACCCAATATGCTAACTAGAACCTTTTAAAAAAAACCCCCCAGTATTCATTGATTTGCTTTTTAAAAAATCCAAAATCTATTACTTTTTTTTGACTTTTTTTGACTGCATTTAGTGCATTGCAGTTGAGATAAGTTATACTGAGTCCTAGAATCAAAGACTCATTTTTTAAACAGTGAGTCGAATAAGATTTCTTAGGGCCAATTCATACAGAGCAAGCCTTCATTGAAGACACATTCTGATTAGGCTCACCTGGCTCCCATCATGCTGGTAGGGCACGCAAGCTTGGGTCTGTTTTAAAAATGTGTTATCTTTTTCACTTTCCACCTTTTCATGAATTCCTTTCTAGATGTCTTTCATTGCTTCATTTGTCTTTCCTGTCTCTACCATCCAATTAGGTGATCGTCATTGCTGATGACGTCTAAGTAGCAGAGCTATACCTGGCTGCTACTGGGCATTTTGGAAAGATATGGGGAAGGAGTCATTTCACTATGAGGGTTTTATGTTCAAAGGATTAGAAAGCTTTTCAGTTGCAAGAGTCCCTAAATGTGAATATTACTTTAGAAGTGGACTTTAAAATTATTTATTTAATTAATGGTTTATTGACCATCTGTTGAGATAGAGAACAAGACAAGGAAGGGACGATGAATAAGCATGGATTCAGAAGAAAGAAATGAGAAACTCTTAGAGACTAAGTGGACAGATGTTGAAAGGGAGCATTACTTTTGTTTTGTGTAGGGCTGGCTCTATCAAGAAATGGATTATTTTCATACTATTTTTATTTATCCACCCTGCTTTACAACACATGTCTTATTTAAGTGTTGAAGGAGACAAGTGACTTACAATTTGTTACTACTGGGTAGTATAAATTCCTTTGTTCTGATGTTTTATATAATCCTGAAGAGACTCTCGAATGTACTACTTCTGTGATTTGCTTAAGTCACTTAAGATTTTTGGCGATTTTTATGGTACAAAGTTGATGCAAAACAAAGTTCATATGGATTTGGACAAAAACTTTATACCGTCCTCTCTTCTCTTTGACTTTCCCATGATTTATGTACTCATTTGGTCTCAAGTTCTTAGAGTTCCATTTGACTCTTCTGTCTCTCTCATCCCCTCCACATCAAGGCCTGTTGATGTTCCTACGTGTCCCATATCCTTTGCCTCTTTCTTCCTGGTAGGCCCTCTTTGATGTTCTTTTAGGGTGTCATAATGGAATTTCAACTTGTTTCTGGATCTCTCTTTTATTCTTCCACTAGTCCCACACTCCTACAATGCCCCAAACTAAATTAATATTTCTATTTTCCAATTCAGGACATATTACTCTCTTGCACTAAAATTTACTGGTTTCTTATTGTCTAGTAGAATAAATACAGACTTTCTGGATTGGCACAAAAGATCCTCCACAATGCATAAAAACTCTTAGCAGGCTTTTCCCAGTAATTACCCTACAATAATGTGTATAGCACATACTAATGAAAGTTATTAAATGTCTGTTAAAAAATGAGCATTTCTTATGTTTTGGCCAAACTTTATTATTTACTGATATTTTATAATGTTAGATGTGTTAACATCTCAGTTTCTTTTGTTCGGGATGGAATAGATACCTACATTATAAAATGATTCTAAATTAATTGGCAGATACACCGTCTTCCTATTTTTGTCTATCAGTTATTCCATCGAGCCTTTAGAACTCCATCACAAAGTCATCACAATTGTGCCAGTCCAGACAAACTCCCTTGTTCTCATATCCAGATGTCTCCTAGCTATTCTTTGATTCACTGAGCACTTTGTTTAGCATCACGTGTTATGCTGACTTTTCCCTACCATGTAGCAGAGTAATTTACATATTTATATAATCCTTTTTTCTCCACAACTTGAGAGCAAACTCCTGGAAGAGAGAGTTTTCATACTTCTCTTTTGGTCTTTGTAGTATTCTTTACCTGTGGTTTACTAATCTATGAGATCGATAAATTTCAGCTGCTGTTGTTTTTGCTATAGCAGCGGGGGACGGACACGCTCGAAGCTTTGACTTGGGTGGGGGAAAGTGGGGGCAAGGGCAACATACATAACCCAAACATCTGTACTCCCATAATATGCTGCAAATGTAATCTTACATGGAAATCCACAGAAGAACAAAAAAATAGACTAGCTCTGGTTGGAAGGGGACTGATTGTTATATTCTTCCCAAATATTCTTTTTCCCACAACAATTGCTGATTGTACAGAACACCTATGGCTGTGCTCAACCTTGTCTGAAAACTACAGTATTCAGCTTACATGTCACAGTCAAGCAGGGAGAGGCCTTTAGCTAGCACCATCATAGTGGTTGACCAGAAGTCTTCAATTTGTGCTTGGAATAAACCCTTAACAAAAGAGGAGTATGTGAAGTTGCACATGGGCTAGTGGTTAACTTATATTTCATGTAATTGCATTGCCCATTTATTGACAAATTTTATCCCTAATAGATACCATGATCTCTGTTGGAAATATCTAGAAATTGAGGAGAAGGAATTTAAGTGGCTAACGATAGGATTAGATTAGATATTTTCAGCAATGAATGACTTAGAAATAAAGTATATACAGCTTTTCCCCATACTCTCTTGCATTTTAAAAGAAGGCAGCTGAAATATGAACAAGCTGACATTTTGCATGCATTCAGGAGGAAAGAGAGGGGTTGATTGGTTTGGGGGCCGAATGTTCTGTTGTGTTCTGAAAGGTTTGGGTCATCAGAGCTAGAGGCAGGGGCAGAATTCAGCTAAAAATAACCCTGGCTAAGAGGAGAGATATTGGTTTTGTTGGACAATGTTCTTATAAGAATGGGAAACATTTCTTTGAAAAGAGGTAGAAAGTTGCCTTGAATTCTGATCTGAAGAAGTGCCAAGTCCTGCTCATCTCTAGAGCTATAGCCACTCAATTTTGATAAGGGCAAAGAATACTAGTAACAAAAATAAAAATTTCAGGAAGGGAAGAGAGAAGAGAAAAGGGAAATGAACAGGGAACATGAGATAATATTTGCTTTTATGGTATAGAAATTCAGGTATATTTAGGTCTTCACTAAGTGCAGTATTCTAACAGCACCTCATCCTTCAAGACTCAAGTCTTTTACTCATTTTCCCTCTTCCTGTCTTTCCTTCTCTCTCTCCCTCTTTATTCTATCCTGCAACCCCGCCTTTTTTTTTTTTGAGACAGATTCTCACTCTGTTGCCCAGGCTAGAATGCCGTGGCGTCAGCCTAGCTCACAGCAACCTCAGACTCCTGGGCTCAAGTGATCCTCCTGCCTCAGCCTCCCGAGTAGTTTGGGACTACAGGTATGCACCATCATGCCTGGCTAATTTTTTCTATTTTAGTTGCCCAGCTGATTTCTATTTTTAGTAGAGACAGGGTCTCGCTCTTGCTCAGGCTGGTCTCGAACTCCCGAGCTCAAACAATCCACCTGCTTCGGCCTCCCAGAGTGCTAGGATTACAGGCATGAGCCACCGCGCCCAGTCAACCCCACCTTTTTATTTCATGTCTATCAGTGTGTTGAATGGGATGGTTCAAATGCAGTGGTTCCTATTGCCTATTGTCTAGAAATCCCTGCTAAAGCCTGAATGCTGCCATGAGAACAACCTGAGAATACCACCGCCTTCTAAGGCCAGATGGCAGGGAAATCCTGGGCTGTTTAGAGGCCAAGCTGAGCTACCCTCATGCAGTCATCTTTCTCTGGACACACTAAACAGGAGATGAGGTATTTGAGGAGGGGAGTATAATTCAGTGGTCTGGCAGAGAATGATTATGAGACTGACTCTCTAAGGTAAGTATTGATAGAGGTAATTACTCACTGGGTTTAAAATAAGGAAAGAATGACATCTCATTCCTCGAGTGAATGTCTGCTAATGAATCCAACTTTCTGGTCTACTTCGTGTCTGTGTGAACAGGAGGAGAAGAGAATTGGTAGAGAACCCAGGAAGGGGTCAGCAGTGATCCAGTATTATTGCCACTCCATTGCTTGGGGAGGCTATGATGCATGAGTTTCCTGTGGGTCAGCTGGCAGATAGCTGACCTTGAGCCAAGTTTCTTTAATAGGCTGCCTGCAGGGTGAAGGGAACAGCAGCAGAGGCTGTGGAGAATACTATAGATGGCAGAGCTGGAGGGTGGATAGAAGAATCAAGCCAGACGTGTCCCCAAGAGTGGGTGTCCTGGAAAATTACAAGTGAACCCCACAACAAAAACACTCCCTACTCAGGAGGAATTCAAGTCTAGTCCCTGTCCACAAGGAGAAGGCTACAATAGCACCATGTAAGTCAGCAATGTCAGAACTTGTCCATCTCTCCTAATCCTCTATCTCATGCTAGCACAGCCAGAGGAATGGAGACCCAGAGGTGGTGGGAGAACCATAGCAGGAACTGACTGCGTCTGCTTTCTCCATGAGGTCCCTTGAGCCAACACAGGGGAAGGCATCAAACAATTTAAATATGAGATGGAGTTGAAACTTGACTAGACCCGAGTTGTCAGACCCAGGGTGACTAGAACCCATGAAATGTGTCCAAGATGATGCTAAGGAGACGAGAATTCAGTAGAGCATGATCGAAGACAGCTATTAGAGAAAGATAAAGCCATTTCCTTTTGTATCCTCACAATTTTTAGACCGTTCAGTAAACCTCAGGCTATGGAGGCATTGCAGTTGCATAGTACTTATATGGTCTGTCATAACACGGTGAAAGTTAGCTGCCAGAACGTGGCTGGCTTTCATAAAGAATCCTGAGAATTCAATCTTCTTTACAGCATGGCTAGCATGGTTAATATTCTAACTCTTTGATTCTAATAACTTGACCCACAATAATCTACTGTGATTCTAAAGTAAGCTGTTAATTATCTTATTTGCAAACTAACTTCTGTTATTTGTGACAAATTTTGATAGGGATTTCCCAATGGGAGTGATAGATTTTCTTTTGATTTTCTGTTAAATGAAGATTAAAAAAACTTTGACAAATTGGCATTTTAGATTTTAATGTCTCTAAGGAGTCAGTTTTTATTTTTTAAGAGGAGACCCATTACACCCAAGCATGCATTAAAAAGCAATAAAACTAAAAGAAGCTTGCCATGGGATGGATCATTAAGAACCATCTCAGAAATAGATGGAATGGATGTGGGCTTAGCAGTTGCTGTCATAGATGATCCGGCACTTCAGGAGCTTGAGATAACTGTCAATCTTATGTGAATCCCTGCGTAGGCAATGGAGCAGGTTATAAAAAGCAAAAAGGCGAGAGTCTTCATCAGCCATCTGCAGGGATGGAAGCCCCGACCAGACGGAGTAGACCTCATTTTCTCTGATTCCAGGATGAACCTAATTAGCAAAAAGACAGTGACTTATTATTCATATTGTTAATATTTTTATATGCTTGTTCTTTCTAATTATTGAATCAAGATTTGGGAAAGAAATAAGGATGTAAAATCTTAGTCAAAGACAAAATGATTTTCACTTATTTGGGCCAGTGCATCAGCAATCGATTAATTTAAAAAATAGAAGCAGAACACATGTATAAGTTTTCTGTATGTATGTATCACAGGTGAAGTATGTTTTTGCAGGAGTAGATAGATGGAGAACCAGAAAGTTGCCATTAATATTCGAATATACATAGATGTGGATTTGAACAAGGGACCGTGGAGAAGCTAGCTTCAGTTCTCTCACTTGAGGAACTATTTCATTTCCTGAATCTTGTCCCTGATGTGCCATTTGTACTTCATTTCTTCTGACACTTCACCATTTATCTTCTTCCCACTTTGAGCTGAATCTATTCCCCATATAGTGTATGTACCAGCAACCTCAGAAATGATGAGGATTGTGTTTGACACTTTGGGGTATAGATAATCCAGTGATGACTGTGACTAAGAGGATCTGTTCAAGTAGTCAGGACACTTTCATTCCACCAAGGACAGGTGCCCCCCCAATTTCTATGAGGAACAGCTGCTTTCTTTTGAGGTCCCTGGGGTAGGAGGTGCTGAGAAAAGCACCTATGAGAAGGGGGTGCTGGCAGCAGCCCCTCAGTGGTGAGGGCTGTGTGGCAGGGGTGAGGGCACATCTATCATAACAAAAAGAGGCAGAACGGCATGAGAGAAAGAGCATCATGTACTTTCCCACTCTATTGGCCCCGGAGATCTTGGAGACCAAGCAACCATCTTGGCAGCTTTCAGGGATGTCAGCTAGTTTGGAGAGCTATTAGGTATAAATCTGGGATATTTGTAGACCTGTTCTGCTGGCTGAACTTTTCCAACAGAGTAAGAATATTTTTTAAATCTGAGATTCCCCATTGGAATTTAGAGAGAGAGAGAGAGAGAGAGTGTATGCATGCACATATTTATTTGTTGCCTTGCTTTATGTTTTTCTTTTTGGTGCTTGAGCCCTAAGACAAAATTTACTGTGCAAGGGACAATGATATGAACAATAGCAAACAAACGATAGGAAAAAAAGAACAGAAAATGAAGTATTATAGAACAAATTAATTACCTCAGAATGTAGGTTCTTAGTAATGAAGAGAATAACCTGAAAATCAAGGTTTTTATTTCATATGTTCCAAAGTTAAAATGTGCTTTGTGTTTGTGTTGGGTACATTCTTCTACAACGAAAATGATAAAAAATGACACATGATAACATGTACTTAGTACACAAAAAGAGAAATGTAAAATTGATTCTGTTATTATTCTGATAATCATGGATATTTTTCTTTAGATGATACATTATTTCTGAGAACTTTGGAAAGCTGTTTAGATGTTATCTCACTAATGTTGACATTATCCCATCTGAATGGAGACATGTATTACAAAATACTAATGCAATCTAAATATGACAGATTATATGGGGAGATTAAATGCATGATAGGAGTTTTGATTTTGGAGCCCCAAGCAAAAGAAAATTTAGGATAAGACGACATTCCATAAATTACAAAATAAGGAACATTCTGAAAAAGATACACCTCCTTCTTTTGTATCCCTCTGAAATCTAGTGCTTGTGGAACCCCCCCAAAAATCAATGCAATCTGTGTGCATTGATGCTATGGCCTCATCTTTGCAATCTCCTTGTCTCCCTGACAAGTCTGTGCAACAGATCGGGGTGTGAGGGGTGGGGTACCGACGGATCTGATATTGATTTTCTCCTTTCTCCCTTCCCACTCTCATCTTGTAGCAAGGGGAGAAAAGAGAAAGAATCTGTTCAGATTTTCAATAGCAGGTGTCCTGGGATACTTAGGAGAAAACATTTATTTTGCAGATTCTATTCTCTGATTTCCTTCTCTTGGATTTGTTTAACTACCTGTCCCAGGAAGGGGCAAGTCTTTGGTGGATTTCTGTACAGTGTATGGAAAGCTGCAGCTGTCAGATATCACAGGATTATAAGAATTCTAAGATTCATTTACATCAGAATCTATCACTGTGAATGACTAGGCTCTTTCTTTGTTTAACAGCGGTCTAGAATACAGAATGTCTAAATTTCCTTCTTTCAAAATGAGATATTTCCCATCCCAGAGGTCACCTGTTATGTGAATGAGAAAAACAAAGAAGCACCAGGAGGCTGCTCACCTGGCCAACTATCTTCTCCATGCCCTCTAGAAGTCGTTTGTTTTGTTCCTCAATCTCTATGGCTCTGGATAGGATAGCATCCGGGGCTTCTTGCATACCACGCACTTCCATGACTAGATGATACAGAGGATCGTTCCAGGAGCGCAACACTCTGAGTATCAGGTTCAGAAGGTCTTCGTGCTAAGAAACCACACAAAACAAGTGCATTAAAATAAGCCAAATACAATGGGGTTAGTTACATATGATTTTTGCTCAGAGAGGCTGGACTGAAATAGCTCTTTATTATTCATTCCTATGTGTATGTAAATTTTTTTGTAGGTGATAGAAATTGTAGAAATGCAAATTTTAAGCTATTGATCTACACTTTGCTAAAATAAAAAAAATCTGGCTTATAGCAATAACTAATTTTTCTAATGAGAATTCTAATTGATAACATGAAGAATTTTGTTTTCCCTTTGAAATTCTGTTCTCTGCCTACTCAGTGCAATCTTTTATATTTGATTAATTTGCTTGTCCCTGGGGAGAATCTAAAATTTTGCTGGAACTCAATGGGTGTCTCTAGTACCTGACTCAGGAAAGATAGATTCCACCAGTGTTGATGACAAGGAGCCCAAATAATTTTCACTCCAGAATTCATGCATATTAATGAATCCAATTGTTCATTAATATAGTCATTTGTCATTTGTAGTTTTATTTTTGGATATTAGAACAAAGAGACAATAAAGAAGACATGGTACTCATAAACATGCTTTCCCCAACCTGTGTAATCCCTTGCCCCACGCTGCTAGCAGAGCAGTCTATTCTACTGGCATATGAGGGTGAATAAAAGGGAATAATGTTATATTTAATAACAGCATCGGTGGAGTTCCCACTGGAGTTTTGGCCTCCTAGTATGCTTATTCCAGGATTGTACATGAGACTCCAAGAAGCTGATTATCTCTGATTTAAAATGCTTGCCGTGTCGATGTCTGTGAACTAGTCTAGTGGTGATGAGAATGAGGAATAGTGGAGAAACGAAGGGACATTGCAATGGAAACATGTAGTAGGATATGAAAGAAAGGAACTGTAAAGAGGTGCAGGCTGTAAAGTGAGTGTCAGCGTGGTTTTGCTGGGAGCATTACAGCACAATGATTAAGAGTGAAGGCTTTGACTTGGTATGGTTTCACCCATCCCTGCCTACCCACCCCCCAACCTGCTTGATTTCTGTTGAGTTTTACTTCCATCAGTGCACATGAGTGCTGTTTGGCTAGTTCCAATTTAAAAGTGAATACTTGTGGTATTTGCTTTTCCATTCTTGTGATACTTCACTTACGAAGCCCAGATTCACTGCTTGCTAGCCACGTGACTGGTGCAAATTCTATAACTTCTCTGAGCCTCAGTTTCCTTATCTCAGTGAGTATCATAACAGTACCTTGTGTTATAGGATTTGGGGGAGGATTAACTACAGTAATGCACAGAAAGTGTTTTGTGCCATTTTTGCTCTGGCCTCGTAGTACAGGTCAAGTATCACTAATCCGAAAATCCCAAATCCGAAATGCTCCAATGAGCGCTTCCTTTGAGTGTCAGGTCTGGGCTCAAAAAATTTCAAAATTTGGACCATTTTGGATGTCGGATTAGGAATACTCAATCCGAGCTCTCAATAAATGTTATTTCTTCTTCCCCCTCCTCCTTTTTCTCCTCCTCTCTTATTATTACCATAATTATCATATAGTATTAGTATTAATGAGCATAGCAGACAGTATGCTGGTGCCATTAATAAAATTGTAAACAAAGAATGCTTTGTATTTGTGGGGGGCATATATGTAGAAAATGTTTATTTTAAATTAGGTTAAGACTATGGTTATTGCAAAGAATCAGAAGGGAGAGATTATAACAATAAAAGATTGGAGCTGGGATACATGATTGAGGCTTGATATGCAGACTTTGTTGTCAGCAGAATAGAGCAACAGTTATAGCAGTGAAAAGCCAAATGTAATAGTTTACAGGACCTGTTTTAGGGGGCTGACTTTGGTTAAGAAGTAGCAGACAGCAGAGAAATCAGTGAAGAATGAAGAAGTAGGTGTCAGGCAAGTAGAAGCAGAACCAGAGGACAGCCTTGAAGGCCCAGAAGAGATGGCTCAAATAATGCAGGGGTCGGTAATGTAAAATGCTACTGATGCAGGAGTCACTAGAAACATGTAATAAATAAAACTGCATTTGTTTCACTTACACAGACATGAATGCATATTTGTCCATGGAAGTCCAATTCAGTTCAAACTTTCATGCAATGTAATACATACAATCCTAGGTACCAGGCGTTGGTTAAACTAATCCATCTACATGGACAATTTATGGATCTGCTATTTAGTTTGCTGCTACAATCTTTACTTAGCATTTAATCATAATGTAATTTCTCTTTGGTTAGTCTTCTTTCATTTTTCTCTGCATGTGAAATTACCATTAGTTATTACAACACCACTGATAACCAACAGCATGATAATAACAGTCTACTGCCTCAGTGCTTTGGTGAAAAACCTGGATAAAAGACTCACATGGATCTGTTGGGCTTGCTCCTTGTCTTCAGGAGTAGAGAGGGAAGAAGTATGGCAGCTGTTGATGGCCTTGGTAATAAACCCCCTGCCCTGGGCATACCGTTTATCCTGGAAATGATGAAGCAAATTCAATTAGTTGGGGTTGCTTGTGCATTGAATAAATGAATCCACTACCCAAATATTAATACATTTGGTAGATGTGTATTTTTAAAAAGAGAGCTGCAAAAAATGGAAATTAAGAATCAAGGAAGTAACTCTCTTGCCTACTTTTCTTTCCATTACCTCTATAAACTCATTTTTTATCTAACTCTTCTAAATCTCAACCTCTTCCCTCCTTTAAGATTTCCTGGTTTACTTTCACTCTTCACACAAGTTAATATTTGGAAAGCAAACACCAAAAATAGCCAAAATATGAAACATGAAATGTTTTGTTAAGTATCATCTTTCTCTAGTATTTGGGCCATAGTGCATATGCATTTACATTTATTCACTTAATCTCTTGTTTACTGTGGGTCAAAACTGATAGACTTCTCTTAATAGGTGTTACAATATAACTTTCATTTGAATAATCTCTGAGCCTACCCACCTGTACCTTACTTACCAAGTTCAACATAGATATGGAATACAATTTTTTTGATTGTGACAAAATACGTCAGCAACACAGGGCACAGGGACAAAATTTTAGGAAATATAAAACAATGAGCTGAGAAGGACAGAAAAAATGTTAGCTAACACATTGACAGAGACAAACTAATCTTTATCAAAAGTTAGAAAAGTTTAAAGGAATTACTAGGAAGATATGGAAGACAAAAGAGGGCCAGTCAAAAATAGAGGCTGAAAGAGAAACTAATGAGTAAAAAGAACTCTATGACTGTGCATCTATTACAAACACGGAGCCACATTCTCTGCGGAGGCCCTTCCATTTACTGAAGTGCTAATCTACTGCCTGCTCCTTGACTGACCTAGGAGAGTTAACATAGGACTTTCAAGATATCTTAATCAGAAAAAGAGTACCTGTTTCCAATTCTAAATCAGCCCCTTATTGCAATTAGAAACCTATAAACTGGAAATACTGGAAAAATGATTCATTGCATTTTGGGGTTCTGAAAAGCTGTTATGATTTTTTTCTCCAACATGGATTCAGCTTAGTTTCCCTCTGTTCCATCCACCCGCTTCACTGCAGTGCAACATGCATTTATTGGATAGCTGTGGTGTGCTAAGTGAAGAATGCCTACGAAGCCTGTCCCCTATATGCAAGAACAGGAAATCAACCTTCTTCCTTTTCCTTAGCCCCACCTAAAAGCACTTTATGTCTGTGTCTAATTTTTTTTTAATTTTTAAAAACTAAAGTGAATTAAGGAAAAATTTTAAGAATCATTACATTCTTTGAGATTTCATGAAACTGTCCTTTTCTTCTTGTTTTGCATTTTCTTCGCTGATGCCTTCTTTTGCCTATTAGGGTATATTATTTGAAATTTAGCTCGGGAGGTTTTCTCCTTCAAAGCGTAGTATAGCCCAGTGGTTTGTGTGAAGGCTCCTTCAGAGAAGAAGCGAGAAGTGTGGTACTTACAAATTCGTTGAACATTTCTGAGGAGAGGTTATGGATGTAGTGGGACAGGATGACTGCACGGTCAAACAGGTCTCGAAGGGACACCTGGCAGTTGACAGCACCCCCGGGACAGATGGGCAGGGAGGCCACGCTCTTGCACAGGAGCAGGTTTGACACCAGCAGCAGCAGCAGCAGCAGAAGTGACCCACCTTAAACAAGAACACAAGCCACTGTGAGATGATCTATTCTGCTGAGGTTATCAAAAATAATCGAGCAGGGGGAAGCCTTATCTCTCCCTACTGTCCTCAGCTGCATAATTTGGAACTGTAATAGTGGGGGTGGGTGAAGAATCAACACCCTCCATTGTGTAAATTTAGATATATAATTATATTTGCACAGATATATAGTTTGAGAAGTGGCTTACTGCCTGCATTTTTGTATGGCTTCCAGAAGTGCTTCTGTACTTTGCAAACATTTGGAGCTAAAATTAGTTCTGAGCCAGGGTGTTCAGATCATTCTCTTAAGATAGTTTAATGTCCTGGGAGTTTCTGCAGATTTTCAGCAGTCAGGCTCTTCAGGAGTTTGTAATTTTTTAAACTCAGTATCTGATATTTATGTTTTAGACATTGATGTGACAAGGACAGCACGGTTGATCTGTTTGGTTTATCTTCACGCTCGATGAGAATAAACACATGATCGCTTGATTGCTAATACTGAGTATGAAGAGAATTGTAACATACAAATGATGGTGTAGCTTGGATCTGCTAACTCATCATAATGATCCCATGCGTTTGCTCAACACTTTGCCAAAAGCTTAAATTTTTTTTCCTAAATTTGAGCTTCATAATAACCCTGTCAGATAAACTGGACTTTGTAATTATCATCAAATGATATTGATGAAACAGATGGCATAGGAAGGTTAAGTGATTTTCCCCAAGTCCTGTTATTCACAGGTAAGAAAGGCAGGTGCCAGTACTGTGGCCTTTGCACCTGCCCTTGTCACACAACACACGCCTGTGGGCTCTCGTGCTGCATCTGTGCAACAGGGACCACATCAGTAGCCGTGATGGCTCAGTGTTTGCAGAGGTCGTTGCCATCACTTGTAAAGAACAACACTTTGCCTTTGAGTGCATGATAACAGAGGCCATAGGAAGCTTGATTTTATCCACTTTTCCTGTTCTAACTAAAACACTCACTTTTAAAATCTTTCACGATGATCAGAGATGGATGTTGTCATCAATTTACTGTCTCAGCAGACGGATAAATACAGACCTGTAACATCACTAATTTTCACTTTCAAAAGGAAAGAAACAAGTTGTAGCTACCAAATTAAAATCAGTTTTCAATTTCAGTGACACTACGCCAGATGAATATCTGATATAAAGATGTGTTTATCAGAAAACTAAGTTCCACAGAACCTTTGATAAATGCAATCAGAAATGTACAAGATAAAGTGAGGCAATTGCTAAAGATTAATTTGTGAAAAAATACCTAAACCTAAACACCTAAAAATATCTGAAAACTTTGGTGTTGAGAATAACTAAGCCCTTTAGCATCAAAACAAAAAAATATTAATGTTGTGAGATGATTTCTATTATAGACTTTTAATTTACCAAAAACCCAGTGCTTCTAAATGTTTATTTTATGCATGTTATAGTCATATAATGTAGCCAAATGGAGAGTTGATCTACATGTGTAAATAAAATGTCCTTTGCAGATAGAGAGATAGGAAGAGCTGCTCTAGGAAATTCATAACTGGATAGATGTTCTTTAACTCTGAGTGCATTTATCTGCACATTTACCATCCAAGGAATTTTCACGGTCCAAGATGAGATAAAATAGACAAATGTTTTTGTTCTTCATTTCATAAAACAAATTTTATAGTTCTTACTGATTTATTTTTCTTGCAAATGTCAACCAAGAAAATAAAGGTGATTAGTTATTCCTTGCCAGCTTATTTTTCCTTTTGAAATGTCATTTGGCTCGAACAAAATTGACAAAACAGTAGAAGAGACAATTCTGTTATCATTATCTTATGGCTTCAGATTGAAAGTTTCATCAGGTTGATTCAAGTTGATCAATCCACATGAGAGGCCTGGGAATCAGGAAATGTTAGTTTCTCTTTTCTGGAGTTGTGACAAATTGGACCCATGGCCTCTTTTGGTCTTACTCTAGTCCAGAGTTTCTCAATCTCGGTATTACTGGCATTTTAAACTGGATAATTCTGTGTTCTGGGGACTGGCCTGTGCACTGTAGGCTGTTTAGCAGCATTGCTGACCTCTGCCCATTAGATGCCAGTAGCACATTTCCCTTGTCTCCCCAGCCTCAATTACGACAACCCGAAATGTCTCCAGACATTGCCATACGTTGCTGGGAGAACCAGGATTCCCGTTTGAGAACCACCGTTCTATTATTTTGTACCCTTATTCAATTACTTTCTAGAACAATGATTAAATAGTACTTCTTAACTCTGTGAACCAGAAACCTGTTGTTATTAGCCAAAATTTCACATTAATCCCCCCCATATGAATGTTGGTAAAGCCAGCAACTTGGTGAGTTGTGGCACATACCTTTCAGGAGTGATCCTTTGCTGTCCATGGCGAGGATCACTGTGGGTAACACACTTCCCCAGAGAAGATCTGGAAGTCCTACAGCTTTGTCTTTCCCAGATGCTGGCTTTATAAGCCGTTGACATCTTCATGAATATATTGAATCAGGCATTCTCTTCCCTTTTCCTGGTCATCTATTTCCGTCATTGAGATTACTCCCATAATTTCAAACATCAAATGGTATTTTATCTCTTATTCATATTCAGGAAGACATATTGGCCAGAAATGAACATTCTAGGAAGGATTTTGATTAATTAGACCAAAAGGAAATGAGAGAAATGATAAAGGTGAGACCTGGATACTAGTTTGGGTTAGAGGATCTGTAAAACTACAGAAGTCATCTACTTTAAAGTTTGTGTTAGAGGATCTATAAAATTACAGAAGTGATTTACTTTAATGTTTACCTTTATTTCTCTGCAGTTTCTTGAATATATAGCATTATATTTCACTTAGGTAATAGTCTCATGTACTATCAATTATCAAATTTATTAGTCAATATTGTTAGGTAAATATCTCCAAATTTACACACTAAATGCCAGGAGATATAGAATAAGGATTGAGAAAGTAAGATTTTCAGTTCTCTGTTACATTCTCGTTAAATTTCCCTCATGTTTTTCTTGCTTGTATACATTCTCTTTTGTCCTTTTTAAAGTGGTGTATCTATATGGTGCTTTGTTTTATAATGCACATTTTTATCTGTTTATTTCCTTTGATTTTGAAATATATCTAAAGATGCATTTCAACCTGCAGTTTAGAGATTAAAAAACAATGGCTTGGTGAGACAATGTAAAGGATAGAAAAGACATAATTCTTCTACAGTTGAGTTAGAGGCAGGAAGGATTATTACTCCAAGGCGAATCAGAAGAGCTGTGAGGGAGGCTAAGGAATGAATCACCTAACAAATGTGGTGATGAACCCAAATTTAAGATGAACAAGATATCACCTCTGATTTAAGAGAGTTTATTTTGGGAAAACAATGGAGTAGTTTTCGAAGGCAAACACACACACAAACACACATGCACACACACACACACACTCACACACATATCCTGGTATACGATGTAATAAACCAAAATTCTAGCCAATGATTTCCATTTTCCTCAACGATAAGAGTGGGCAAACTGTTATTAACTTATGATCATTCTACCTTCACTGATCCTGAGTCACTCTGGGGCCAAGGTGACAAAAATTCATCTTTCATGGGCTCAAAAGTTCCATTCACCTTTTGGAGATTTCCTAAATGAGATGATTATAATGAATAAGAACTAAGTTGTTGACGACTTTCTCTAATTTTTAAGTCAGTCCATGCATCTAAAGTAGCCTGTGACCTTTAGTTTCAAATTTACTGTCTCTTATAGGAGACTGATGGATGAGGTAATGTAAAAAATAATCTTCCTATGGCATTTACTTTTTCCATAGTTGCTAGTGCCATGTATGTGCTTTAGCAATTATCTGACTAAGTGCTCTTATGGGGACCTAGAAATCTTAACAAAGACTAACATCACCGAAAAACTATCTTTCTAATTGCCTTAACTTAAGCAATCCCAGATTTTGAATCATAAACATCAAACGTGATGATTCATAGACCCTATCAATCTAAAAGCTGGGTCAGAATTCCATACACTCATACTAGGTATCCATTTTTTTCCTGGATGGTGAAAGTCTGAATTATAAAGTAAGCAGAGCCAGGTGGTAGATAAATTAACACTGCCCTACATTCCCCTCTCTCCCAGAAACTTAAGAGTAAGAAAATCTGCCATAAGAACTGACAATGACAACTTAATCCTAAAATTTAAAAGTGTTGCAACTTTCGTAGATGGCCAGGATAAGAGTAATCTAAGGAAATCTAAACGGGGTTTATTCAGTGGAGGCCAATCAATTTATTTGACTGCAAAGAGGTCCATGTTTCTCTGTAAAATTTATTGTGTGCTTCCTTGCTGCTCTACAGGCCCACGGTTCCTGTGAGTGGGATATTGCAATATCTAAATAATGCAAAAGGCATATTTTATGCAAAAAGTCATAGTTCTATTTTTCTAACTGCTACATATGTCACCCACTGTCACCTTAATTTTTATATGTGCTCTTTCGCAGGCCTTTCTCTTTATCAAACTGTGCCCTTAATTTATAGCAATAAAGAAGTTCATTCAGGGGCCGGGCGCGGTGGCTCACGCCTGTAATCCTAGCATTCTGGGAGGCCGAGGTGGGCAGATTGTTTGAGCTCAGGAGTTCGAAACCAGCCTGAGCAAAAGCGAGA